TTCAAAAAAATAGTATCCAAACAGATTCTATTATAACATAATTGATTATAATCAAAATTAATTATATTAATCAATTATTTTTATAATCAATTATACCCAACTGAAATTCAAATGGATTCTATAACGCTCACAAAGGTATCTGATTTTACTATTAAAAGTCCCAACTTGGACTGCTTCTTGTTGGAATAGTTCTACTATCAAAGCTTTGTATGATGAAGCAATTGTTAAGTTCATACTTAGCACTCCAATATCATTCATTGATGGAAAGGATAAACTCGTATTGGGTACTGGGCATTATTTTGCCAAAGAAGGTTTCACTAAGCTATTGCTTATTATAACAACTAGCCCTTATGCAAATGAATGTATTTGGAATTTTCTTTGAAAATTGTACCTTCCTCATAAGACTCTGCTTTTCATTTGGAAGCTAATTCACATGGCTATTTTTATAGATGATGTTTTACATACTCATCATTTAAATTGCTCTCTGCACTGAGTTTTTGGCTGTGACACCCAATAAATCATAAATTATCTCTTTTGTGAATGTCCACTCATTAAAGTTATTTAGCTTAGAGCTCTGTCCATCATATCTTTATTCGTTTCAGAGATTGGTCTCTCAATGAATTTTATAAGTTTTGAAGGTTTTGTATCAAAACCAAGAAATAGAGTTGTTAGTAAATATTTTCCTCTTACTTCATAAAGTTTAGATGTTCAGGAATCTTTCCCTTTATCAAAATATGAAAAAAGTGTCTGAATCTTTCATTCAGGATTTTAAGCAAGATCTACTCTGCATTAGATCTACTTATAATTGGAAACATGCTAATGGATTCGATCTTTTAATTCATCATATATGAAATACAGAGTTTGCAAATGATAAGAGCATAAGAACATCATTGCATCAATTACCATATTAGGAAATTCACACATGTAAGTTCAAGAAAATAAAGAAACCTTATTGTTCAGTGAATATTTTCTTGAATGGTACAGAACATTAGCATCTTATCCTTTATGGATCTGACTTGATAGCACCTGACATCTTCATGGCGGTTTGTCTTTGAAGTGTTCTCCTTTAGATTTATAACTTCTAGCAAAATCATGGGGATTCCTCCATCCAACTTGGTGATTTGGTGCTAAATGTCACGGGCTGAGAGTCTGGCGCCGTGTGTGCGGCGTCTTGGAGGACCCCATAATCCTCCGGACAAGCCTTACCACGTACGGATCACACTGGTTTCGCCCTGCCATGGGCTCATCAGGGAGGCGGCACTAGCCCCCGACCTGTTGTGCACACAGTCCGAAGACTGAGGCAGAACACCCCCAATGCTAATGTCGCCCCCTTTACCCATATTGTGCGAGGCTAACCAGCGGACCGTTCATTATCTTGGTCTTTACACGATCACGGAAATATCATCCGTGACATTCTCCCACACCCAATCTAGCATGCCCTCGTGCTAGGGGAGAACGACTCCGCCCAAGGATCGTACGTACAGTACTGCCACAAACACATCAGCTTACTTGCTGAGTGGCCACCCGAGTCCTGTACTCTTCGGACCCACTCGCACCCGCGAGCCAACAGGAGTGGAGTCGACAACGGCCAACCATCCCGCCCGAGTCCCCACTTTTGGACCCACCTGCTCGGAGGCCTTTCTGGAGCGATGCCGAGGCCAACCAGTCCCAACGTGGGACCCCACGCGCACATGGCAGTAAAGTACGTCCTGCTCTGATACCACTCTGTCACGGGCTGAGAGTCTGGCGCAGCACACGGCGCCCGTGCGGCGTCCTGAAGGACCCCATAATCCTCCGGACAAGCCTTACCACGTACGGATCACACTGGTTTCGCCCTGCCATGGGCTCATCAGAGAGGCGGCACTAGCCCTCGACCTGTTGTGTACACAGTCCGAAGACTGAGGTAGAACACCCCCAATGCTAATGTCGCCCCCTTTACCCATATTGTGCGAGGCTAACCAGCGGACCGTTCATTATTTTGGTCTTTACACGGTCACGGAAATATCATCCGTGACATAAAGCTCAACAAAAAAAATTTATTTTCTCCTTTAGGTCACAAAATTCTTTACCAAGACATAAAGCAGATACTCCAACATTTTATTCGTGTTTCTTTTCAGAAATGTAGTAATAATTATACCAATTACAAATTGTATTTTTCTACTTTTGTTTTTACTGTCAACTTTTGAACTTTTGATTTTGTATTTCTGTTTTATTTGTTAATATAGTCAATTTGCTAATGAGACAGCAGCGTAGGTCCAAAATTATGACATTCTAGAATAGAAGTTTTAAAGTCGTTTTGGTCCAAATTATTGTTGATTTTTGTATTTCAGCTCGCAAATAGAGTTGTTTTGGTCAATTTGAAAACTTTTTTGACACGCGACTATTTATTCACAAATTAAAGTATTGAATTCAAATTCTAAAAATATAACTGCGGCTGCATGATTTAATTTGAATTAGTCTGGATCTCATTAAAATCTTATCAACATGGAGCAAGCTCAAGATACGTGGGCACTACACAGAAAAAAAGACTTTGCTTACCGTATTCCAATTTTTTTTATCAATGAGTTGTATGAGATGCACATACAAAATAAGATAAATAAAAAAGAGGAAAAACAAAGTTACGGGTACGTATAATTTCATCAAATTTTACATTTAATTCTTGTAGTTTTTCATTATTTTCTGTTCAAGCAAGATTGAGTGATGTTTATTTTTTAAATATCTGATGATGTTACATTACAAGGATTATAAGAATAAAAATATTAAAAAATTTATAGAAATTTAAAATAAAATTTGATAAAATTATATGGACAAATGATTGTATTTTTAAACAAAAAATTAAGTGTTAATGCTAATTATGAACTTTGCATGAAATCTTGACCAAGAAACGCATGAGATCCCCAGCATCTAAAACGTTAAAGAATAACTAAAAGTGTAATCAATTTCACGGCAATTAACTAAATTATGATTAACTCAAAATTTAAAGTAGAAAGCGTGGGAACAAAAAAAGTTGGCATGTGCAGGCGAAAAATTGTCATTTTTTGACCAAAAAGTGTTTCCAATGATGATAGAACATTGGAACCATAATAATTGGGTTATCTTTCTATCTAAAAGAAAAGGAAAATTCATATGTGCAAGATCACCTTATAAATTCTCAAAAAGAAATTGCGTCAAAAAGTATTACTTCCAGCACACGAGATAAGATTATTTCTAAATTTTTTGTGGTCCATATAATATATAATACATTTTGCAAAGTTGCATTTAGGTAAAAGGTTACATGCAAGGGAGAACATGTTTTCAATGACTATGTATTTAATAAAGATGATTTTTTTTAATAAAGGTTAGTTTAATTGATTAAGATTTGATCATAAATTATAAGGTCATGTGATTAGTTCTCACTATAGATGTGATAACCCTATTGATTGATGATTTATGAGTACATTTATAAATGCTTGTTAAATCTGGATACACGTTCTAAACTTTGTTGAAATTCAATTCAACTAAACTTGACTTTGTAAAGGTAAATTTAAAAATTCTTTCTTTAGAAAATATTAATGATTTAATTATCTTTTATATGTTTAATGAAATAGTTAAAAGTGATTTACACACCCTCACACTACAGGATTAGATGGAATATAATAGTTTATTTTATAACAATCCTCCATCCATTTAATATTATAAAGTATTTTTAAAATATCATGTTAAAAATATAAAGCATTTTGAATCTTATAAGGTGTAATTAACAAGTTTTTCTTACTCAAAAGTACTCTTAATTAAAGACATAATTAATAAAAAAATTTAATTGAGACATACTATTAAATAACAGTAAACATGTAAAAAATGTGTAGTTTTAAAAGCAATTAACTGGCTTATTAAAATTAAAAGTGTAATTCAATTAAAAAAAACTTATATACTTAACTTTATATACTTAATGTGTTTGTTTTTAATTAAATCAAGATATATTGATCTTATATAAATTTTTTATTATATAATAAACTCTTGTCATTAATTTTATTAATATATTAAAATTTATTTATCATTATTTAATTGAATATAAATATATTAAATATATAAAATAAATGACATTAATTTTGCCCATTCAATTAAAAGTACTTTATGGAATAGTCTTGACTTTTAAAATGTTATAGTAATATTTTTTTTGAAAAAAAAAAATCAACATCATTAAATAATTTGAACGACGTGTCGTAAATCTTGACAATAGTTCTTGGCAACCTTAGAAACCATGAACGGTAAAAGATTGGGATGGGATTTGACTAGTCTCGGCGCGTGGTTTAGTCTGTGTTTATCTCTCTAACTTAATTTTATTTAATGTTCCTTCATATTAACTTCACTCAGTTCCTGAGACGGCGCATTAATATTATTGTTCATCTCATCGATCCACAATACAATGCCCAAACATCTTCCTTCTTCATCGTCCCTTGCCTAATTATTATACTACTTTATTTTTCTCAAATTATTTATAATTATAATAATTAAAGATTAAGTAATATTATATTATTCTATGCTTCTCTCTCCCTCTCCAGATTTCCTGCCTCTGCAGTGACTGAACAAAGGTAACGTGGTTCATATTTGTTAGAAGACGACAAATCCCCAAGCTCTCGTCTCTGTTTAGTGTTTTCATCTTGGACGTTGTAATTATTATTGTATTATTTAATTTTTTAGGAGTACTTCACGGTTATATAAAAATGGATCAACTCGTCTTTCTTCTTGTTTTAATTACTAATAATTTTGAAGCTTCATTATTTAGACAGAGACAGCTCAGTGACCAATCCACCATTGATGAGCTCCATAGCTTTCCCGCGAAATAGAACGAAACCCACCATTCTGTTTTCCTTATTCCATGGAAACTTCATGTTGACGATTTCCATTTTTCTACGTATTACGTATCGATCTTTTATTATTATTATTATTATTATTATTATTTGGTCTTTGGGCGGAAATTTTCCCGTGGCTCTGTTTTTCCTGGAAAATTAGTCGCTATTTGAATTCGTCACGCTCGGGAGGAAATGCGCGTTCACCATATTGTCCATTGTAAAGTCAAAATGCGAGATTTAATTCAAGTCTTTGTCCCAAGCTTCTCCTCACGCCATCGTTACAAAACTGACCAAATCCACGGACTTTTCATTTCTTAATTCTGCCTCTCCTCTGATCTTCCTCGAAATCGTTTCTTTTCTTGGTTCACTAGGGGTGGATACTCTCCTGGGTATTTCTCATTTCCTGTAAAGATTTCACATTTAGTTGAACGCGCCATTCTTTCCCTCGTTAAATTACTGAGTTTTTGAGAGCTTTTCTGTCGTTCAATATCTATTCTCTCTCTCTCTCTCACTCTCTCTCTCTCTATACATAAATACATATATTTTTTTGCTTGGGTGATTCAGCTATAGGGGGCTTCTAAGGCAACGTAGTTGTACTCAGAGAGGCTGTAACGGATCTCGTCCTTAAAAGGAGCTACTTTAAATTAACAAGCACTCCGAATATCTTGCTTGCTTCGAGGTTTTTTAAGAATTGTTGTTTTGACAGTTGATTTTGATACTTTCAGTTGAGACCGGCTTTTGGAGAGAGCAAAACAAGTTCATTTTACTGGGTTCATCTACCTCTTGATAGTCAATTCATCTTTTTTTTTTTTTTAATACAAGCGAGGTGAGGAAAAAATGAGGGATGAAAGAAGAAGAAGAAAGCTGCGTCTCAGCAAGATCTATTCATTCACCTGTGGGAGATCATCATTCAAAGAAGATTATTCAAATATTGGAGGAAGAGGCTATTCGAGGGTTGTCTTCTGCAATGAACCGAACAGCCCTGAGGCTGCAATTCAGAATTATCCAGATAATTCTGTCAGTTCTACTAAATATACTCTCGCTACTTTCCTGCCTAAGTCACTGTTTGAACAGTTTAGGAGAGTGGCTAATTTTTATTTTTTAGTCACTGGTGTCTTATCCTTCACCAAACTTGCCCCCTATTCGGCTGTTAGTGCTATTATTCCTCTGATAATCGTCATTGGTGCAACCATGGTGAAGGAAGGTATTGAAGATTGGCGTCGCAAAAAGCAGGTACTTTCTGCCACTTGTTGATTCTCTTTTCATACCCTTGTCAGCAAAAGTGTCATGGAATCAAAACGAGTCACGCTAGGTCTACTCATTTACGTTTTCCAGGTTCTGTTTAAATATACTATTTAGATTTTCTTGCGAGTCACAGTTCGCGTGACTAAAAAATCTATGGGATCAGCAGTGTCCAGAGGCTTAAAGAAAACCAGTGTTCGTAAAGTCATAATCCACATGATATGTAGTGCTTGAACAGGATGAATTGTGAAGGTTGTTGATATAGTTCCTATACTTGCAAATACGTTATCTCTGAGATTCCAAGTTAGATTAATTGCTGAGCTTGAAGATTCTTGATAATTTGATTTAAATATAGGATGGTCAGAAACGGAATTATATCACACATTTTCGTTATTTTTGCAGGATATTGAGGTGAACAATAGGAAAGTTCAAGTGCATAAAGGTGATGGTGTTTTCGAATATACCCAGTGGAAGAATTTGATGGTAGGGGATATTGTGAAGGTGGAGAAGGATGAATTCTTTCCAGCGGACCTTCTGTTGCTTTCATCCAGCTATGATGATGCTATCTGTTATGTTGAGACCATGAATTTGGATGGAGAGACAAATTTGAAGTTGAAACAAGGATTGGAGGTAACTTCTTACTTGCAAGAGGGTTTTAACTTCAGGTATTTTAAAGGGACCGTAAAATGTGAAGATCCAAATGCAAATTTATACTCTTTTATTGGTAGCTTGGATTTTAAGGAGCTTCAATATCCTCTTTCTCCTCAGCAACTTCTTTTGAGAGACTCTAAACTCCGAAATACATCTTACATATTTGGAGCTGTTATTTTCACTGGTCACGACACTAAAGTAATACAAAATTCTACTGCTCCCCCTTCAAAGAGAAGTAGGATCGAGAAGAAGATGGACAAAGTGATATATTTCATGTTCTGTTTGCTATTGCTATTGTCATCTGTTGGATCCGTTGTCTTTGGCATCACAACAAAAGATGACTTGAAGAATGGATTGATGAAAAGGTGGTATCTAAGGCCAGATAGTTCCACAATTTTCTTTGATCCAAAAAGATCAGCAGCAGCTGCAATATATCATTCCTTAACAGCCTTAATGTTGTATAGCTACTTCATTCCAATCTCCTTGTACGTGTCAATAGAAATTGTGAAAGTCCTTCAGAGCATCTTCATCAATCAAGATATCCATATGTACTATGAAGAGGCAGACAAGCCTGCTCATGCCCGTACTTCAAACTTGAATGAAGAACTTGGCCAGGTTGACACAATACTTTCTGATAAAACTGGCACTCTGACCTGCAACTCAATGGAGTTCATTAAATGTTCAGTTGCTGGGGTGGCTTATGGACGTGGTATTACAGAGGTTGAGAAGTCTATGGGTAGAAGAAAAGGCTCGCCATTGATCCATGAACAGGTTAATGGCATAGAATTAGATGAAATCAGGGATTCTACTGATGCCAAAACGCCCATCAAAGGTTTTAATTTTTCAGACGAAAGGATAACGAATGGCAAATGGGTTAATGAGCCAAATGCTGATATTATCCAAAAGTTTTTCCGCTTATTGGCAATCTGTCATACAGCCATACCTGAAGTGGACGAGGACACAGGAAAAGTCTCGTATGAGGCTGAATCTCCAGATGAAGCAGCATTTGTTATTGCAGCTAGAGAACTTGGCTTTGAGTTCTACAAAAGGACTCAGACTAGTGTGTCAATTCATGAGTTGGATCTAGTTTCTGGCAAGAAAGTTGAAAGGTCTGTTTCTTTGATCGGTTGTCTTTTCTTTTCGCTTTGTTCTTTTTACCCAATGATTGCTTATACAAATTTTTTAGGTTGGATTCTCAGTGCAGAGGGCACATGCAATCTCTTAAGTATTTGTTTGTAACAGCAATAGTTATATTTTTCTGTTTCTCCTGAGTTCTCTGAAAAATAAATAAATAGAACAGCTTGAAATAGTAATTTCTTTTCTGCTGTTGGTCTAGACGGTGTTTGGAAATCCATTTGCAGGCTTAATTTTAAACAAACTTAGTTTACAAATCTAACTCTGAACGATGTTGGGAAAACTGGGGATTGGAAAGACAATTTCAATTTTTAAAACGGAGGCTTCAGAGTAGCCAGACATGGATGGATGGTAAACTGAGTTTTCTAAACCTCTTTGAATCTTTAAACTGAAATCCTAACATGTTTTCAATAGTTGCCGTTGGGGCATGAAGTTTAAGGAGATTTTTCAGTCCTTGCTTTTTTGAGAACCTAGACTAAATCTTCTTGTTCAAATAGGTGAATTTCCAACCTGGCTTACACTTGTGGGTCCTGAAATTTTGACTTCCTTAGACAGGGACAAAGTGCAGCTAATGATTTGATATTATTTTGTAATGTCTTAATTGTGAAAAAATTGGTTAGAATGTTGTTCAAGCCATCTTTACTTTTCTTAATATCTGTTCATGTTCCTTCTAGTGAACTGTCATGGTGTTTGAGATTTCAATTTATTTCTTCACACTAATCGATGCTAAGTGCAATGACTTCTATAATGTGGTGTCCATGATTCAACTGTTGTCAGCTACTGTTGATTGGAAATTTCTTTTTCCGACGTCAAGTGCCGATTAATAGGATATTAGATATTCAATGACTTGGTTCATTTTGCAGGGTCTACAAACTTCTCAATGTTTTAGAATTTAATAGCGCAAGGAAGCGAATGTCAGTTATAGTGAAAGATGAAGAGGGAAAAATTTTGCTACTCAGTAAAGGCGCTGACAGGTTTGAGATAAACCAACCTCTAAAAGTGTAAATAATTTTTTTAAGCTCTTACTTCACCTTTCACCATATTGACTAGCCATTTGTCATGTTATGTGCAGTGTCATGTTTGAAAGGCTTGCCAAGAGTGGGAGAGAGTTTGAAGAGAAAACCATGAAGCATGTGCATGAATATGCTGATGCAGGTCTTAGGACCCTCATACTAGCCTATCGTGAACTAGATGAAGAAGAATATAAGGAGTTTGATGAGAAATTTTCTGAAGCCAAAAACTCAGTCAGTGCAGATAAGGAAACGCTAATTGGTGAAGTATCAGATAACGTTGAGAGGAATCTAATCCTCCTTGGTGCCACTGCAGTAGAGGACAAACTCCAGAATGGCGTGAGTTAGAAAAATACCATATGTTTCTTGCATAGGCGAATATTTATTAATTAGAACAGGATTTAAAAGGATGCCTCTTTTCTTCTTCTTTTCTTTAGGTTCCTGATTGCATCGATAAGCTTGCTCAAGCAGGAATTAAAATTTGGGTTTTGACTGGGGATAAAATGGAGACTGCCATCAATATTGGGTATTATATTGTGATATGCCTCTTTGATGTTGGCTGGAATAACTTTGTAAGATATCTGACATTTTTCTGTATAAAATTGCAGTTTTGCTTGTAGTTTGCTTAGACAAGGAATGAAGCAGATTATCATTCATCTGGAGACTCCAGAAATTCAAACATTGGAGAAGGAGGGGGACAAAATTTCCATTGCCAAGGTAAAACAAGTTTTAGCTGTTTACCTAGTTCTTGTGAATATGTGGTTTGCATATGGAGCATTGATTTTTAGTTCCTGATTACTAAAGATGCAATGCATGGTTGCATACCTGGACTTATAAGATGTTACTTACATGATGTGATAGATTTTCTTCTTTTATTCCGTTAATTTCCATTTGTTTTTACCATTATTAAGCTTTCCGTTAGAAGATAGTCTCCTCATATATTTATGCTGATTCATCTTTTAAGGCATCAAGAGAAAGTGTCCGCCACCAGATATCTGAAGGCCGAGCCCAGCTTGCTGGATCCAGTGGGACCTCTCAGCAAGCATTTGCTCTGATTATTGATGGAAAATCTCTTGTTTATGCTCTAGAGGATGAAATGAAGAACATGTTTCTGGACCTTGCAATTAGCTGTGCATCTGTTATCTGCTGTCGCTCCTCGCCCAAGCAGAAGGCATTGGTACGTCCAAATCTATTTTGTCCTTTCCTCTCTTCTTAGAGATAATGCCATCATTCATGTCAGTTCATCAGAATATTTTCTTTTTATTGGTTTCTTCCTTCAAGGTCACGAGACTGGTTAAATCTGGCACTGGAAAAACTACATTAGCTATTGGTGATGGAGCTAATGATGTGGGGATGCTTCAAGAGGCAGATATAGGGATTGGAATCAGTGGCGTTGAAGGAATGCAGGTACCTGGGTAGTTGCCAAAGTTTAATTAGCTTTTCCTTTCATTTCATTTTCTAACAACCCTTTATTTTCTAAACCTATATCAGGCTGTTATGTCTAGTGATGTTGCAATTGCACAGTTCAGATATTTGGAACGGTTACTACTTGTGCATGGACATTGGTGTTATAGAAGGATATCATTGATGGTATTACCACTCTTATATCTGTTTCCACATTATAAAAATTCAACTTCTAAAGATGATGTTAGCCCTTGTTTTGATAATATATTGACTTTTTCATCCTTCTTTGGCAGATATGTTACTTTTTCTACAAGAACATCACGTTTGGCTTCCCTCTGTTCTTATATGAGGTGTATTCTTCATTCTCTGCACAACCTGCATACAATGACTGGTTTTTGTCTCTCTATAATGTCTTCTTCTCTTCACTTCCTGTGATTGCCCTCGGTGTATTTGACCAGGATGTCTCTGGCCGGTACTGTCTTAAGGTAAGTTAATACACTGCTCATTTCTTGATCTAAAGTTATGCCTAACAATCAAAGCTATTAGCTATATTTATCAACCCTCACGCTTATCCCTAAACCAAAACCTCATTAAATTTCTATTAAATGAATATTTTAATCCATTTACCATGGCACAAGACTTAATTGGATTTTGATTGGCATATAGCAGAACTATAAATGGTAGCATGTTGTTCAAACATAACAACTAGCATATGTATTAGATACAATAAACTCCCTTCACTTTTTCTGCGGTAAGTTAAAGTTCTAGGGATTAGCTTTGGTTAATTTTCTCTAGGGAGGATTCTTGAAGTAAAATCCTGAACCCATCAAATCAACGCGCATCTTTAAAATCTCTCAAGAAGAGAGTCTCCTAGTATGTTCCTATGTTGATTAATTGATGTTTCCAATGTGGCAGTTTCCTTTGCTTTATCAAGAAGGAGTAGAGAATATGCTCTTCAGTTGGCGCCGTATATTCAGTTGGATGCTAAATGGATTCATTAGTGCCATCATAATCTTCTTCTTTTGCACAAAAGCAATGGAGCTTCAGGCCTTTGACAAGGATGGAAGAACTGCCGGGAGAGACATCCTTGGAGCAACAATGTATACCTGTGTTGTGTGGGTTGTGAACTTGCAGATGGCACTTGCCATAAGCTACTTCACCTGGATACAGCATATTTTCATCTGGGGTTCCATAGCTTTTTGGTATATTTTCCTGATGATATATGGAGCAATGACTCCTTCATTTTCCACAAATGCTTACAAAGTCTTCCTTGAAACTCTTGCTCCCTCGGTTTCCTTTTGGCTCGTGACATTCTTCGTGGTCATCTCAACTCTCACACCATACTTCTCATACACAGCAATGCAGAGGAGGTTCTTCCCATTGTATCATGAAATGGTCCAGTGGGTCAGGTATGAAGGGAAGACCAATGATCCTGAGTATTGTGACATGGTGAGGCAGAGATCGTTGCGGCCAACAACCGTGGGATCAACAGCCCGCTTAGCAGCTAGAAACAGAACTTCTAACCATAGATGATATGCTTTTGCGCCATCTTGTTTTCAGGTGTCAAATGCTGAAGTTTGTGTTCATCAGCATATAAAACTTAGGTGAAATTCTTCCCTTATCTGCTATTAGATTCTTCTGAAAAAAAAAATATGATATGTGGATGAATGAGTCAATGTTACAAGAGTTAATCAGCTTGTAGAAATAATATCCGTGTATCCTATTTTTTATTAGAGAATCTGATTAAAAAAAGGTTGCACCTAAGTTTTGTCCAGAGAAAAGTATAGTTGGACGGAAGAAGTAGACTGTATATTTATCCCCCTTTTCCATGTCGGCTGTTTAGCATTTGATTTTTTCATTCAACATTTTGTATCATAAGATTCTTAATGTATAGAGAAGCATATAAAGTCTGTGTAGAATTGAATAGAGTTGCTTTTAGCTGGAGAAACAGAGCAGAGTACTGCTGTTCTTGTACTTCCATTTTTGTTTATCTGATTTCCACATTTCTGTTACTTTACCTAACATTATTTGTGCAAAGGGTATTTCTATTTTGTTGATCAGCTTACAATATATATTGGTATTGCAGCTTGGCTAGCTTCGAGTCTAAGCTGCTGCTAATTTTCCAAAATGTTTTTGAATATGGTCTTTTATAAACAAAATTTTACTAATAAAGAGCTTGATCTGACAGTATGAAAATAAAAGAAGCTTTTTTGTTTTTGAAAAATTAATCATTTCATCCTTATAGTTTTGATTCAATTGTAACTTGATCTCTAAATTTTGATTTGTTATAATTTAGTCGATGTAATTTTAGCTCGGTTGTAATTTAGTCTCTGAATTTTTTTTTCTTGCAATTTAATCCTTATAGTTTCAATTACTTAAATATTGATTCTATATTTTAAAAATAAAATTATAAAAATTAAAAATAATTTAAACTTTTAATATTTATAAAGATTAAAAGGGCTTAATAATTTAAATTATTATTAACAAATTTTAACATAATTTTAATCTTTATAATTTTGTTATTAATATTATAAATATTATAAATATTAAAAGTTCAAGATATTATAAATATTAAAAATTCAAAATATTGTAAGATTAATCTTTTAATCTTTAAATATTATAAATATTTAAAATTTAAAATATTTTTAATTTTTATAATTTTATTTTTTAAAATATAGGGATCAAAAATTATGTGGTTGAGACTATGGGATTAAATTGTAAGAAGTAAAATTTAAGAATTGAATTACAACACAACTAAAGTTATAAGAATGAAGTTACAATTAGGTTAAAATTACATGAACTAAATAATTAATTTTTTCTTTTAGGGCATATGTGATGTTTTAACCTTAGAATCCATGGTGTTTGGTTAAATTATGGCATTTGGATAACCTATGTTCTCCAACATGTAGTTATAAATTGCTTCACATTAAAGGAGTGCTTGGATATCACATCAACATAAAAATCCTAGTAGAAAACTTATTTTCACTAAATTTATGGAAAAGTCCATTCATAAAACTTATTTTCTTTTTGATTCATGTTCTGAACTTGATTTTTGGCATTGATACCTTAAGCAAAGACACAATTGAAAGTTCATAAAAATAAAACTGTCAATTGGTATTAAAATATCATTGTAAACCAAAACACTATATTTAGGATCTTTCATTGAGAGAACACGTGTGTGCTCAAAAATAACCTCACATTCCTTTTTTTAATTTTTGGCCAACAAATAACATTGCATTCAATGGGTCCATCTTTGTGTCTCGGTCACAGGGTTTTGACTTATCTACATGAAGACAAAGATATAGAGGTCATTCGTATCTTATATTCACTGGAGAGATCAAAATAAAATTTAAAAACAAAACTAGAGACAACCATATATCTTTCACTGTTATTACTAGTGATTAGCATGATAATGACAAAATTAAAAAGCACTCCATTGCCCGGAATTTAAAACTTGAGGGGGAAAAAAAAATCCCCCACACATCACTTTATTTAATTTATAGAGAGAGATACAGAATATTTTATGCACTACTTGCACTATTTTTCATTGGGTAAGTAAACCAAATACCTCCTAAATATGTATACTTGATATTTAAGATATGTTCTAATTTATATTGAAAATGAGAGCTGAGTCTAGAACATTGAATTAATCATAATTAAGCTTCAAATAAATTTATTTTTAAAAAATAAGTTAAAAATATCAATTCAAATAATTCTAAATGTAAAAATTTTAATTGTAAATAAATATTTAAATATGAAATATAACTTTAAAATTGTAAGAAAAATAGTTTAAATTAGTATTTACAACTCATTTTTTACCCAACTTGTTTTTGAGAAAATTTTGTCCAAAAAGGACCTCACTACCACTCTCCTTAATTTATCAATTTTTTTTTTAAATTTTTCGTTGGTCAGATGCCATAAAGAAACTACTCATGTTCTCTTTAAGAATTACTTGTTAGCCTCAAATTTATTTACTCCAACAAAACAGGAAAAAAAAAATAAAAAATAAAATAAGGTTTCTGCATGAATTGAGGAACAGGGAAGGAAACAATAAAAATCAATTTAGCAAATGTTCAGTGTGGCAACCACAGTAGAACTTAGGACCAAATCTGATAAATTTTCCTAGGTTAGAGATTTATATATCCTTCTTGGTTTGTTTAGTTATTTACAGGGCACAAGTAGGCATTTCTCCTTGTGCTTTCAAGGAATTCAAGAACACTCACACACACTATATAATTTAAGTATTGAGCTCTTTCTAGTAAGCATTTACCAGGAAGCATTATTACAGAGAGGAAGAGAGGTAATGTAATATGACTAAGTGATCAAACTACAACTGAGGAGAATTTAAATCACAGACTAAACACTAATCTAATCAAAAGCTACAAATGAAGATGGGTTTGTTGGTTTTTGCCCTGCAATTCTTGTTTGATTGATCGATACTCTGCTATTACTATATCATCAAGTTTTGAACACCAGATCTTCTTCATCCTTTTTCTTTCCATTTCCATGGTGCCTGAAAATCCATCGCCAACTCTTCATGCTTCTTCTTCCCCTCTTGACTCCTCTGTCATTTACAGTGATCCTACATGATCCTCCACTCCTTAAATCTCCATCTCCTTCGTTGCTCATGAAATTCCCACATCTTGTGCTCCCAAATGCAGACATGCTATCACCCAGTTTTGCAGATGGATACTCTGGTTTTGATTCTGAAGAAAAATCAAGCTTCAAGTCTATGAATCTTGACTCGTCCATGCCTTTGAAATCACTCTCTCTCAGTGAAAACACGCGTCTGTTTACCCCGTAGAATCCTCCATCAACGTCCATGAATGAATCTCTCTTCTCGCCATCAAATCCACTCCTTCTGGGTTCTGCTTCACTGTAGCCACTTCTTCTTCCGGATTCAAGAAGCAGACCGCCGTTCACGCCGGAGCTTCTCGCCGCAGAAATGGAGCTCCTGGCTCCCGATAAGATTGAATCGCCACCATCTTCAGATCCGAATACACCGCCGTTCCGGAAACTACAGAGAGATCTGGACCTAGATACGCCTCCGTGATCGCCAGCCCATGTATCGCTTTTCTCGTCGAATCCACCAATAACGCTTCTGCCGCAATCCTTCTCCTTCTTCTTCCTGAACAATTTCCCGATTCTCCAGAACCTTCCACTTCTCTTGAGGTCGACGCTGTTACTGCTGGTCCTCCTGAGAATCACGAACTCCTCCACTTTATCCTGCAATTTAGGTTTAGAATGCGGAATCAAGGTCTCACTCTTCTCATTCTCGATCAGGAAGGAAACTCTCCCGACGCTCCCGACCTCGACTGTGCAGGAGTTCCGATTGGGAGAGATCTCAGAGCAAGAACAAGAGGAAAGCCTCTGCTCGCCACAATCAGAGCACACAAGCTTCACCAAACGATCTTTGAGACAGTAAGCGCAGATACCTACAGAAGAAGAAGAAGGATGCCTCTTACAAGGAAGATCAGAAGAAGTAGAGTAATACTGGTAATCCATCAAGTCATGATCGTGATGGTAAGCCACCGCCTCAACCCCTTTGCTTCTCCTCTCTTTCATGGCTTCCCAAAACCCAAAAAAAAATATAAAAAAAACACAAAAAAAGGAGCGAAATCAAAACCAGGAGTGACCTTGTGGGAAAAGAAGGAAGGAAAGATGAATGAAATACTAAGAAGAAGGAAGGAAAGTGAAAGCAGAAAGGAAAGATGAGATTGTTTTTTTTTAGCTTTTGGGGTTGTTTTGAGAAAGAAGGGATGAGTGAGGAGTACAGAAGAGAGGCGTCACCTTTACGTTTGGCAAGCAGGAAAAAGAGAGAGAAAAAGAAGAAGGAACAGACAGAAAGAGAGAGAAGACGATGCAGGCATTATTATTGAGGTGTAGGGAAGGGGAGGGAGGGAAAGAAGGAACAGGGAAATGAGAGATTGTTGAGTGAGTGAGTGAACAAACTCGTCATTGGCTTGCTTAATGCATGAATGAGTGAATGCACTGTTCTACTGCTCCTGCTTGCTTTGCTTCTGCATGCAGATGTACCATCAAATCAAATCAAAGAACCCTAACCCCACCATCACCTAAGTTTCTCACTTTGGTGAGAAAATCAAACCCACGTCTCTCTCCTTTCGCCAAAGTCACCCTCAAATCATATCTTTGAAATCCATCACCCTCTCTCTCAAAACTGTCAAGCATTTTCACCTCTCTGCATGCCCATCATTTTTTCTCGCATGAACCACTAGATATCCTATCCTAATCCTAAGCCTGTCCCATGTCCAATTTTTTTCTTAATTAAAATGATCGGTACTAACAGCTTGACATTGCAAGTTGGGTCAAATCCGTGATCTTTCACTTAAAGGGAGGTTTGTATATTATTATGTTAAGGGGAGGCTCTGCTATCAACATTGCTACATTTTTAAAGCTCCAAATTAAGCTGGTACCATTCTCTTATTACTTAAACTATAGGAAGAATTATACCTAAGTTTCACATAAGATATCTAATTACTAAGAGATTATATAAAATACAAAAAATTGTAAATACACGTTTAATTATAGATATCTTTTATCCAATTATAAATATATAAGATTTAAGACTTACAAATATTTTATGTATTTTATAATAGCTTTTGTAGGTATAATTTTTCCTAAAACAAACTTTATATTCCACACAAGTCCCCTGCTTTGCATATTCCTTTGTAAACAAACAAGACAGAGAGATGATTTGAATGGTGAAGGCAGACGCCTAGCGTCACAGTGAGTGGGCGATATAACACGTGTCCGATGGTAGGAGGCCACGTAAGAAGGAGGACGAGGGATGCGTATTGAATATGGGGGAGGCGTACGGTTGATAGGCAGGGCGTGCACGTAGTGGCTTTATAATTTGCGGTGACAGGGACATGGTTTGAGTGAGTGAGGGAGTGAGAGTGATACTTTGGCCGTAACGTTTACTTTGTTATAACGTGCCGTATTAGATTTCCCTCTTCATCGTCCCCCCACGTACGTCCTTTCTATCTTTTCTTTCCTAACTTTCCTAACCATATCTTCACCTGTCTCCTTCCATCTTCCTCGTGTGTGTTTGGAAATTTCTTTATTTTCGCTCAAAATCATGTTTCTACACAAATATAAGATGAGAATAACACTCCTCTAAACTTGTTTTCTTGGATAGAGGGTTTCACACCCAAAAAGTCATTCATAACAATCTAGGTTAGATTTAAGCATTGACTCTCTCAAAAGTATTTTCTAGTTCGATCTATAAAGTAAAAAAAGAATATATATTTTAATTCTATTTATAAAACATTTGAATAATTATTATATTTATCTTTATTATTTTGTCTCTATTAAATGTAGAGGAAATTATTAAATACTAGAATATTTTATTTTAAAGTAGATATATTTAATGGGAGTAAAATTAAAAAAATATTAAATTTTTAGATAAATTTAATGGAGTTTAAAGTTTTTCCAAATGTTGATAAAAAAATATTAGAAGTAATTTATAAATAGAGTCAAGTATGTATTTAAATTCAAAATTTCATGCTTAGTGTGTCATAACTCACGTCAATGGAACCAACGCAAATGTTATTTGAGTTTCATGAAAGTCCATTTGAAATCTAAAAAGTTCATTTGAAGTGTTGTTAATTATTAGACTTTGTATATATGAGGTCCACTTCTCATGCCATATATTGATACACATGCACACTTTTAATTAAATTAGGTTTTATTGTGTGAGTTCATATATTAACATGTTTTTAAAGTGAGATGCCTGGTCTACTTTAATGACAAAAGAGTGTGAAGTAATCTACATTAAGCACATCAAAGGACAAGATATATAAAAGTGTATATTTCCGGGTAATTGTACGTGTCGGTCAGCTCACTGTAAGTGCCCAGAGTCTTGTTAATTTTCTAAACTAGATATTATTTCAATCAATACCAGAACGCATAATATTTTAGGAAGACTCAGTTCGCATTAAAAAGCAATATAATACTCCATATATATCTACCAGCACAAGATATTTCATTAAATAATAATAATAATAATAATAATAATAATTAATATTCAGACAAATCCTCTCAAAGGGCGTTTGTGAATTGATTTGGATTTTGGAATGAAGGAATAGTCATAAGTCATTGATGATAATCTTTGGGAGCAAAGAGGCGTCAAGTTTGAAATTTGAGGACGTTGCATGCCTTGGAAATAATGTCTCTTTGGTGGAAGGAAGAGAGTAATGAATGATATATAATAATAATAATAATAATAATAATAATAATATTTAATTGATTGAAGAAGGTGGCTTCTTCTTCATTTTAATTTCTTATATTCCCTCAATTTCTATATATAATAAAATATTTTTAACTGAATTTTGAACACATAAAAAAAGTATTATTTTTTTAAAATTATATGAAATCACAATATTTTTTTAATTTTACATTTAATAATATCATAATTAATATCATAATATAATAAATATAACACATAATTAAATATTTTTTTATTTTTTAAGATAATGATAAAAAATTTTAATTATTTAAAAATAGTATGACATTGCTTATATTTAGAAATAAAATAAATTTTTAAAAAATATCTTTTATATATATAAATATATTAACAGAGGGAGTATATGATACCTCTTATGAATGAATTTGTGTTATATGAGACAAAGATGAGAAAAAGAGCATCAACAAAGTCAAAGTGTATTTGATGACATTGTTTTATTGAGTGGCTGGCTTTATATGTTGTCTCATATCTCTTCTTTTAATTTGTTTCGTCCCTTCTCACACCGCCCGTACAATCTTACTTCCCATTTTAACGGTCAAAGCTTACACATCACATGTCACAATTACATTTAATTACCCCAATTTTATAAATTTTCAAATTGCAGGCTCGTGTGAAAAGGACTCGATACTTGCTGAAACAAAATTAGGGATCCAACTTTATTGGGGATGTTAGTTAACATAAATTGGGGGAAAAAAACAGATCAAGTTCAAAGAAGTATTCCGTTCAGATACTTTTAATTAATTAAATTATATAATTATTCAATAAGTTAATTAATTATCTTTAAAATTCTATACTCTTTTCATATTTATTATTATTTAAAAAGTATCTCAATTAATTTTTTTTATTAATTACACCTTTAATTAATAATATTTTTGAAAAAACTTTATTAATTGTAGCTTGAAAAACTTAAAATGTCTTATATTTTTTAATATGATATTTTAAAAAAAAGTCTTGTAGTATTGAAAAAAAGAGAGAGAACATACATTATCAATAGTAATGTCTCCCATCCAATATAAGTAAATACAGTAGCAGTTACTAGTTAGTTACTAATTATGCACATAAGTTAAGATTATTATGTAAGTTAATTAATTACTCCCTCTGTTCAAAAATATAAATCATTTTTAACCGAATCTTACCTTTAGTAAAGTAATTAACTACTTTTAAATTAATAATATCTTTTTATATTTACCCTTATTAAACAACCTACAATAAATACAAAGTAATTATCAATAGAAACACTTTAAAAAAAAGGCAATTATTGCACCTCAAAAGATTAAAAATGTCTTATATTTTTGAACATCTAACTCTTTAAAAAATACTTTATATTTTTAAATGGAGAGAGTATATTTGTAAGAAAATGTGGGTTAGAAGTTGGATTACGTAAAATATCCTTGTTAATCATTTACATTGGAAATTACTAATGTAATTAATCATCAATAGGGGTAGTTTGTGAAAAAAATATTAATAAATAAATGAAGACGATAAGAGAGATTGGAGTCTTATACTTAAGACCAAAACAAACTTCTCACTAATTTTTGTTTTTGTTTTGCACCAAAAGAAAGAAGTGCTAAATATATCAAATAGTTGTGTGAAACACAATTAAGTAACTTGGAGGAAACATATACATTTTGAATCAATCAAAAGTGAAAAATGAAGCTAGAACTAAAGAATAGAAATCAATAAATCTGAACTTGAACACTTGGAAAACAAACTTTGACTAATTAAGCTTAGTGATCATTGAATGTGTGCGTATTATATATAGTATAGAATAGATGGGTGAATACCAAAAAAAAAAAAAAAACAAAGAGGATGGATGATAATGGATGTTTGGCACGCTGGAAGCAAAGCATGCAGAAAATGGGGAGCATCATTGGGACAAAAGTGAGGAAAACAGGAGAATGAGGCTTATGTTGGAGTGACAATTAGAATATGTTGTCATTTTTTTTAATTTTATTTTTTAATTAATATATTTTTCCCAATCATTACGTCCCCTTCCTCCATTCATTATTTTGTTCTTTCTCCCATCAATGTGCTTTTCAAATCATTTGCTTGCTTCCCTAAAATCTTATGCACATCCACTCAACTTCAACCCTTATTCTCACCTAAAAGCTAAAACTACCAAAAAAAAAATCCATTAAATCTTACTATCATTTTTTTAAAATAAATTATAAAATTTAATTTTTAAAAAATTAAAAAATAAATATTAATATTTTATGAAAAATATATATCTTATAACATTTAAATTATAAAAAATATGATTTTTAAGGACAAAAAATATTACTAAATTATAAGGGACTTATCAGTCTTTTTAAAAATATTTTATATATATATATATATATATTAATTTCAATCATTTTCATTAAATAAATTAAATTAAAACTTACTGATAATTCTTAAATTTAATTCTGTCCATTTATAAATTTAAAATGATAAATTCTTGGTTTCTTAAATTTTTAAAAAATTCCCTTCCCAGAATTTAAAATAATTTTCAAAGATAAATTATATATCCATGTAAATAAAAATGTTCCCAAAAGACATAAAATCAAATTAATTAGTGCAGTGTTATATGTATACAAAATTAAATAAATAATTCTGTATTTTAAACATAAAATTAAAGTATGTAATATATAATTTTAAGACGTGTGCTTTTAGAAAAGAATGAAAAGATTTGGGTGCAATACCACTTTTCTTTCAAATGAGGTAATGATTAAGTGCAATTAATCTACTAACTTATGCCCATGTTGCCTGTCTGACATGCACCTCCCTTGGGCCCCATTGGACCCTATTTTTTCAATATTATTTAGTATATTAATATTAATCACTAAAATTAAATTTGATATTTTATATATCATGTGGACGTAGAAAAATATTTACTTTTTGACCAACGACATAAAAAAATATTTACAAAGTTGCATTATTCATAATTTAAAAACAGTTTGATTTGCACTCTGCACAGAACATGAAGATACAATATAATTGGCAACAGAATGTATGAAATTGAAATCATAAATTTGAAATGCAATATTTATTTGAGAGTAAATTGATATATTGATTAAATAAAATGATGGATTTATATAAGCCATGAACTAAGATTTCGTTTGAGGCAAACAATAAAAAAACAAATAAAGAACTAAGTTTTTGTTTGTTTCCACATGAAGCTATTTCATTATGCAGTGAGAATTCAATATCCATTAAATACTAATGTTTAGAATTCAAATTAGGTAGAACAACAAGGCAATCCTTCATTTGAAACTCAACAATTTTTTATTAGAAAATATATGTTTCTTATAATTTAATCAAGATGTAACATTGGATAATAATATATTGTTTTGAAGAATGCAAAGAACATGAGATTGTTTCAAAGATTGTCCTGGGAATAGTGTCATGTTTTGTTGATGGAAAGTATATATTATGCATAATTATTCAGATGATAAAAGATTAATTATGATGTCCACGTCTGATTAGTGAGAGATTTGCTACATGAAGATGATGGAGTAATCCTCATTTTGTTCTCATTCCCAATAATCACCAAAACCGAATCCCAAGTGTTTTTAGCTTCTTGTTATTAATTTGACATTTTGTAAATAGAGTGATTATAATATATATAAGTTGAAAATATTGGCACAAATGATTAAGAACTTGAAGGAGAATTCTTGTTTTCACTCATATGATTATGTTCAAATCATCTTAATTTCTTATTTATTTTGAAGATTTTTTCTTAACGAGTAAGAGCTAGTTAAGTAATTGTGATTGGATAAAATTAATAGTAATTTTAGTTTTAGCTTATACAATAATCCTTTTAATTAGAGTTGAGTGTATGATCGTTGATAAATGGGTATCTTACTGTTATTTTTATAAAATATTTGAAATGCATAACTTTTTAATTTGAAATATTAATTATCTTTTTAAGTATTTATTAAAAGGAGAATATAGATATAAAATAAACATACTCCCTTCATTCAAAAATGTAAGAAATTTTTTAAAAAATTAAATTTTAAAAAATGTAAGATATTTTTAGTATTTTGAGGTGTAATTATTATCATTTTTTTAAAAGTGACCTTATTGATAAATAATTTTATATTTATTATAGGATATTTAATAGAGATAAATATAAAAAATAAGGTTAATTTAAAAGTAAGTAATTATTTTATTAAAAATAAAATTTTATTAAAAATATTTTATATTTTTTAATGGAGAAGGGAGTATTCTCCTAATGTTGGACCTCATTAGTTAACACAGGCTATAAGTTTTGGTGGGCCACAACTTTTGCTGGTTTGACTTTTTGAACAAATGCTGAACCATGACATTTAAAATATCCACATTCTTTTTTTTTTTTTAAATTAACTTAGCCCAATGGGCAATGAACTTTTTCCTTATGCTCAATTAGCGTTATTGGGTGCAAGAGAGTGACCCTACCCAAAAAAAAAAAAAAAAGAAAGACTTTATCATTTATCAATATATTTAACCTTGTTTTTTTTTGGGTATTTTTCTGTATAAGTGGAACTATAATTTTACTCTGTCAAACAATCTAAAAAATTTAAATTTAAATTTTAATGTTTTAAAAATTCATTTTTAATGAAATTTATTTATTTATACTTTTCTTTTACCATTTTACCTGTTATATTATGTTGATTGTCTCTGTTGGTCTTAAATAGGGTGACATTTCTAACTTTTTTCTTACCATTTTATTTGTAAAAAATAATTTAAATGGAATTCCATTGAAAATCTTCAGTAAAAAATTATTTATTAATTTTTTATTCAGTAGTAAAATTTATTTATTTAATTATAACTTTTTTTACAAGTTAGAATCTCCACGTTTAGATTTCCTTTGGCTTCCTCAATATTGCACATCTCAGTTATTAGATTAAATTTTAAACAGTCTAGATTTAATATTTACAAAATATTTTAAAAATTTGTTCTTCACTACAATTCTAAAATTTTGCGATCAAGTTTTAATAGACTGAATTTACTTATTTATTTTTTATAATTTTATATTTTAATAATGATTTTTAAATAATTTGGGTTGTTCAAAATTTGATAAAATGGTTGAGATGTGTAATTGAGAGAAAGTGAAGGAAAATCTAGGTGGAGAGAAGCCTTTTCTATCAATCAGGTTAAGATAGATTGTCTTTATAAATTCATAATAGACATTGCATTAGAATTAAATTTGTCCCAAAAAATTGTGAGACTTTTTTTTAATTGATTATAAATACTTGCTCTGTTCCTATATATAAAGTATTTTTTATAAACTTATTTTGTTTCTAAATATATAAGAGGTGGTAATGATATTTTTGAGTAATTAAATAATTTTACTCTTATCTTAAAAAATAAAATAAATCATTAATTGTATATTTTTACTACCACCATTATGATATTAATTATGATATTATTTAGGATAAAATTGAAAAATTATTGTGGTTTTTATGTAAATTTAACTAAATAACAAACCTTTATTGATATATGAGATTCAATTAAAAATACTTATATATAGGGACAGAGAAAGTATTTTTTTATTAAAGACAATCTTATTTAAGATTTGGTCTAGCGCTAAATGTAAATAAGTCTCTTAATGAGGATTTAAACTTTAATTAACTATATTATAAGGACTAACCCTTTCCACTAAAAACTCACCAAAATCTTAATTCCATTAATAAGGATTGTACCAATTCTTGCAATGTAGTTGCATTAAAGACGACTGCTATCCTTCACTTGGCAAAGGTCTCAACTATGTATTTTTTTTTAGGCAAAACCTATGTATTTAATTTTATATACTTAACATACTTCTATATAATTAAATCATGATAAGTTGGATCTTGATGTATTAATAAAATTAATAACATTAATTTATTATAAATAAATAATTTTTCAAAGTTTCACATGTCATGATTTAATTAAAAACAAATATATTAAGCATATACGTTTTCTCTTTCTCTGTTTTTTTTTAACAAAAAAGAGCAAGATTAGGAGTAAAATTCAAAAGTCTGATGAACCTACATTAATTTGATTCTCTTGTCTCAACTGGTCCAATGAAAGAAGAATGAGTCAAAGACCATTTTTTTTCCCTAAATTTATTTTTAAGGAGTTCTAGACATCCTATATTAAAAGATGGGGCAATATTCCTCTAAACAATTTTTATTTGTGAGATCCATATATAGTGACAATTAGGCATTTTGACATATTTTGTTGCCATTTTGTCACTAAAATCAAGCCTGAATCCTATCATTACCGTTGCTACTTCTAACCCTTTTGTCTCTCATTAAAAGGTCAAAACTGGATATGTCTTGCTATCATTGTACATAAATTATCTAACTATTTCAAGTTAGTAGATAGTGAAAAAAAATGATAACTCTTTGATGAAAATATAATTTTATTTTTTGAAATATTATTTAGCAAGAATATTTTCTCACCCTAGTGCTTAAAAAAAAGTGTAGAGAGAAAAATAATCTTTAAAAAAATTTGATTTTTGTTTTTGGATAAAATCAGTTAAAACAAAGAATAAATTTGAGGAGAGAGTTGCTGCAGGTTGGCTTATAAATTTGATAAAATGGATTGATTCGCTCCTCCATCCATGGAAATTTGATACCTACCAAGCCACTAGAAACGTTGAAGTGTCAACTATGGAAACGAGATAATCAAACCCGCTTCGCTTCTCTGTTCTATCTTACAAACCTGACTTGCGTCATCTCCATGATTCCCCTGATAGATTCTCAAATTTCCGCTTCGTTCTCCATTTCCAGAGCTAACCCAATTCGCATTTCTCTTCTACAACCTCGCTTTTTCGCGCTTCCACTTTCTTCCTCTCCTCATGGCCTTAATTATCCTCGTATTGTAAAATCTCCATCTCTCTCGAATTCATCTTCATTCTTCTCACTCTCTAGTTTTGTATCCACCTCCCGTCTTCTTAGGGTTTCGAAAATTAGAACCCAAATTTGCAGCGGTGAAGATGAAAAAGATGGAATTTCCACCGAACTCCAGGACTTATCGCCCAACGGCCCAATATATAAGAAAACGCTGCAATTGGTTGAGTGCTCCATGTTTGCTGCGCTTACTGGCTTAGTCTACTTCTTGAGCAACTCTCTCGCCGTCGAGGTTTGTTAATGTGTATCAGAAAATGAGTTTTTCACCGAAGGTTAATTGAAATGTCTACCTTAATAGTTAGTTCAATTTCTTACTGAACACTTCCGAACTTTAAGGTCTAGCTGGCTACGCATAGGAAGTAATGCAATATATATATATATATATATATATTCGTTAAGGTGGATAATTGTTATACTTCTTTCTGGCACTGATAGACTTGTTCGGATTAGCATAATACATGTTTGTTTCGCATATTCTTTTATCACTTACTGCTTACATTTTCATTGCAGAATTACTTTAGCTGTTTCTTCTCGTTGCCCATAGTAATCTCCTCAATGAGATGGGGTGTTGATGCTGGAAGAAAAACTCTGGTTATACCTGCCAGAATGCAATACATCAATTCTTGACGAGTTATTGCTTTATCAGATTTTTATTGTTGTAGTGGTTTTCTCATTGTAGGTGGCAACTACTATACTTTTGTTGGTCTTATCTGGCCCAGTGAAAGCTTTGACCTTCTTCGTAAGCTTGCTTTACTCCTTATCAAATTTCTGGTCAATGGACAATAGGTCTCTATTGTCCTAGCTTTGGGGAAACTCCTATTCATTTTACATTGAACACTTTTAGTATCAGAAAATGGAAACCGTAGTTCCTTTAGCTCAAATATTTTATGGGTTTCTTATAGGTTGCATGCTTTTGTGGAGTTGCCTATGCTGATGTGCTTAACTTCTGAACATATCTTTATGCAGCTTAAGCATGGCATAGTTGGTTTCACAATGGGTACTTTATGGAGGTATGCCATGTACAACAATATTAATGTGGTGTTAAAATTCTTTGCGCCCCCCCTCCAATATGTTCAGAGCAAACATTGTAATGAAACTTGTCCAAATAAATTATTGTTATGGCTGTCTGATAATGTGGATTATCTCTAATCTTAATATTTATATTCTGATGCAATTAAACATGCATTGGTATTCTTCTTTGATTTGTGCATTAAATGTCTTATATTTGAATCAAAGCCGACTATTAAAGTATTCTAAACAGGCAGAGCTTACAAACGACATTTTTTGGGACAAGCCAATCAATTTATTTATGTTTTCAAGTGGTGTTTTGGATGATGATTGATTTCTGAAGTACTCATTGATCTTGCTGGATTGAATAGCCAGTGCACAAAATAATTTCTTCAAAGTTAAAATTGTAGAATATTTTTTTTTAAAGATAATCATGCTAGCTGTAAGCCCATAAGTGCTTTCTTTATCTCATTTTTGGATGTTGTCAGGTCGGGAGCAAGTTGGAACCTCTCAATCTTCTTGTGCACAATTGTACTGTTTGTACCTTTTGCCTTGAACATCTTATACCTCTTCCGAGCAAATGATATTACTGGTTGGTTCGTCGATTCATGTATGTATTAAAATCTTGGTAATTTTTGCAGGTAAGATCGCTAGGTGCTGTGGGTTTTGTCTTGATTTCATCCTTCTTGATAAGGGAAAACATACTGGCTTTGGTAATCAATCAACCTACTTCGTTCAAATTTTGTATCACATTTTATCCCAAGACCACTAACATGTTTATTTTTTCCTCTATCTTTTGTTGTTATTGGTGGAAATGGTACTTGCAGATCACCATTAACATTCATGCTTCTCTTACATTTGTGCTCACTGCATCGGGTGTTAATACAATTCCTTCCATGAACGTGATTTATGCCCTTTTTGGCATTTTGGTATGTTTGGTTGCTCTTATATGAAAGAGCCTTTTCTGTTTATTTGTTTCTCTCTCTTATCATGAAAATGCTCAGATGTGCTTCTTCTCTCTCAAGGTTCTGCTCAATAGTGGATGTTTCATGTTCTTGCTCCACCTGCTGTATTCTGTATTCCTCGCTAGACTTGGGATGAGGTCTTCGCTGAGGTTGCCAAGCTGGCTGGAGAGGGCTATATGATGCCAGGCCATATATCTTTGGGCCTAGGGTTGTTCCCAAACTTGGAATTGGAATTTCTTCCATTTCTCTCCTTATTTTTATGGGTTTTGGGAATTGAGTTGGGATAGTTTGGCTGAGTGCCTGAGTTTGTTTATGTTATGTTCTTACAGTGGCACAAATTTAACAGCGAACTAATTAGCTAAAAATCAATCATTACAGCAAAGCAATGTTTATTCGTGCAGTTAATGCATATTTTAATTGTGCAATTTCATCTTAAATTCCTAGTTTTTACCGAAAGCATTTTTAGGTAGGCTCAGTTTAACCTCATTTACAGCTTCGTTATCTATCTTCAATAGATTAGATCTCGAAATTCCCGTCAATGTTGCTGGAATCTTGCAGTTTGCAATGGGATAGCTGGTACAATTACAGGCATCTGGCTTGACTTGTTATTATTGATCGGAAATCTTTCAAGAATTCATACACACAAATTATCTCTTTTACGATGTTGCCGGAAATCTAATTTCATACAGAACAGTTCAACAGAAGTTCCAGCTATAAATGTTAAGCGTAGCATCTAGAAAACATTTATATAAACATTCAGTTCGACAAAACAAAATGCGGATGGTTGAGTAAACCATTTGGTGCTGCTGCGACAATCAAAATATCTACAACAAAGACATAACAACCATGTTCAAATGGTCCAAACAAATAGAAATGAGCCTCGTTGTGTTCTTGTCATTACAATCTTCTGAAGTTTTCTTGATAAAAGAATATGTCGACGTACCCTGATTTTTGATCTGGCCACAAAGGCTGAGGCATTTCCATGACCACGGCTCTCCTAGAGCTGTTCTTCTCCATGTCGTGATAAATCACTCTCACACGCCTCGCTAGAAAGTATGGCAAAAGGAGGATCTCACCTGTTGTGGGAACACTGCACAGAGGAAAATGAATTCGCTCGTGCGCTCCAATTCCACAAGGAAGCGTAATGCTTTTCTCAATCCACCCTTCAGCCTCGTAGTCCCTCAAGATCGACAAGCTCAAAACATTATCATGGTATCCAACTAAGGTCAAGCATCCATTCAGCTCAACAAGATCTGGGAATCTCAAATGTGGACAGCCAAGATCTTTATATTCATACCAGGAAGGGATTTTGATCGCCTGAATTGCTCGTCCCTGAGATTGAACGCAAGTATATATGAAGAGTATTTCCAATGAATAGCACCGTTCACACAAACTCCTCTCTTACCCTCCCTAAACCAGTTTGTTGGACTGATTGGGTTGCCGCAGTAACAAGCCTCCATGAATTAGCAGCATCACCAACGGTAAAGATCTTAAACTCATGAGAATCTTTATATATCAGCAAGCGGAGAACCTTGAACTCGTCTCGAATTGGGTCGTACCCAAAATGGGTCGAAGCACGAAATTCATTTCTTATGGAGGAATCATCTGGGAGAGTAATGATTTGCCGAGTGGTTGGATTACATACATGAGCGAAAGCCTCGGAACGAGACGAATTCTTGGGATGCAGGCAGAGGAAGCCATTGGCGCACTGAACGTCAACCCCAGAGGCCGGACGGTCGGGAATGGTGGCGATGAGGGTGGCGCGTGAGGGAGGGACGTCGTCTTGGTGGATGCGGAAGATAGGAGCGGAGAAGATTTGGGGCTCGGAGGTGGCGACGGCGGAGGAAGGGGAGACGAAGAGGAGGTGGCCAACGGTGAGGGTGATGGATCGGTGAAGACGGAGGAAGAGAGGATTGAGAATGAAGGAGTGCCAGGATTTGCAGACGCACCTGAATCGAAACAGAGACTTGGTAGGGAGCCTGGGGAGAATGTGATGAAAGAAGACTTCGTCTGGAAAAGGATCCGTCATGTTCAAACCGCTCGTCGGCGTCGGAATTGAGGAATTTTCTCTCTCTACATGATGCCCAGGGGATGCTCAGTCACAGTGGCTAACTGGCTATGCTCTGCTGCTTTTGAAGATGATCCTTACTGATGATGTTTTGGACTAAACATAGTATTCTTCCCCCTTGGACATTTGGGACAACCTACCAAAACTGTTTTAAAAGCACATTGGAAGTTGAACAGAAAAAGCCAATGATTATCAATTTTTATAAATTAATTGCTGTTAGACAGAGGATGTAAAAATTAAATTAAAAATAATATTAAATATATATAATAAATATAAAAAAATATAATATATTAATAAAATGATGTAATATAATTATAAATTAATAATATTATAAATTATAATGTTATAACTTGTTAAACATATATCAATTTTGATTAAATTCAATATGGGTATATATACAAATATATATATTTATATCTATAACTATCAATATTTTTATAAAAAATAATTTTAAATTATATTTATATATATAAATTATTTAAAAATAAAGTTAATTTTTAAAAGAATCTAATTTTTGAAATTTTTAAATTTTTTTTGGTATTATATTTAAAACCATTCAATTTTTTTTAAAAAAAATTTCTTTTAACTTTGATTTTTGACTTAATACTGATGTAATTTCGATCCAATCCAGCTCAATCATGAAAAATAATTTTTTAGTTCAAATTATTAATGGTTTTGGTCAATGGTTTGACTGTTCAATTGATCCAATTTTTAAAGTATTGCTACCAATTGAAATGATGAGCCGTGTTTAATTTTCTTTTTGTTTATCACTAATTTGATTAAAGTTTGACTATAATTTTGATTATTTAACCATTACCTTAACCTGTTTCAGTGCAGCATAGCTTCTGTTCTTCTAATCATTGGGTGGAAAGGAACCGGAAACAAAGCGGGGACTGAGGAGAAACCTTGAGCCATGAAGTGACTTTCTTGCCCAATAACTTCCTCTTCTTCTTTTTTTTTTTTTAGAAAATATAACTTTTAGTTCATACACCTTATTTATATTTTATTATAAATTTTTATACTTTTTTTCAGTATTTTAAATTTCTATACTTTTATTTTTAATATTTTACATTCATTTTAAGGTCTCTACTTTGTTCATTTTGATCATTTAGAGACTTAAAATATCAGGAAGTGAAATTGTAACGACCCAAAATATCAAAAAAAAAAATATAAGGACTTATAATAAAATACAAACAAAGTATAGGGATTAAAAGTTATGTTTTTTTTTAAGTAAAATACACCAAGTAACTCCACCTTCCTCTATTTTATTTTAAGGTTACAAAGTAAATTAAATCTTAAATTAAAGCTTTAAGAATGTTTGAGATTTTAAACTCATTTCTAATATAATATTTTTTTAACTTTTAAAAATAATACAATTCTTATGGTTGAAAAAAATTAATTTTAACAATTAATTAGTCAGAAAATGACAGATAGAGACTAAAAATTATCATAAAGAACTCAAAAATTATAGACATTACCAAAAAATAAAAAAACATCAAAAAAATTTTATTAGTCTTTTTTTTAATTTTGAGATCATTTTTTTTATTTTTTAATTACTAACAATTAAAGTTAACTTTTATTAATGATAAAGACTTAATCCATTTTCAAATTTTGAAGGAAAACAATGCACAAAAATTGAGTTCAGAATTTCAAATGTTTCTAAACTTATCATTTAGAGTTCACTTTGCTTTTTATCCTTTATTTTAATTATACTTTTTTCTATTTTTAAAACTTATATGAACTTTTAGAATTGTTTAGGGTCTGTTTGATTGCTGGAAAAAAATGAAACAAAATGAAATTAGTTGATAAAAAACAAAATAAATTAAAATACAAAATAAATTAAAATAAGATCATAGATTGATAGAGATAAGGGCAATGGAAAAAAAAAGTCATGGGATGATAAGAGGGGTGAGTACTGAGATTGACATGAATAAGATCATGAACACCCATTTTCATTTATCCACCATCCCATGGCTGTCACCTCTCTATAATTCTCACATCTTTATCATTTTACAATATTATTTGTCTATTTTATTTTTTATCAACACATTCCATTCAATTCAATTTCTTTCCAATAACTAAATGGGTTCTTAGGTAATATTTAGGAGTATTTTCTAAGATAGAATTAAATGGAATGGAATGGCTAAAAGCCTTATACCACTGTTTGAAAGATTTTTTTTTTTTAAAAAAAAGTAGAATGGCTTAGGATAGCCTTTCAAGCCATCCCTCATCATTATAAATTCATTTTTCTTGACTCCACAATTTGGGAGGTCAAGGATGAAATGATATAATATAAATAATATTATTACAAAATTATTCTCATCCTTCTCACTCCTCGCTCTTTCACTCTCCCTCATTGTAAAATTAAAAAATATAATTATATCTACTTCAAATATATTAGTTTTATAATTATTTTTAAATAATGATTAAAGAAATTTATTTATTCCTTTAATAAAACTTTCAAATAATGGAATGTTTTATTTCATTCCACTCTACCCCATTCTATTTCATTAATGATTGTTTCTTTTCATTTCATCATATACTTTCAAACATATTCTTAATGACAAAACACAAACGTCCCTTGAAAACAATTAGATTATAAAAGTGAATTAATAATTTTAAAATTTTAAACACAATTACAAATAAAAAAGTTAAATTTTTTAATGAAATATTCTTAACGGAGATAAAATTTAAATTAAAATATAGGTTTTGAAAATAAAGGAAAGGCCTCTATAATTTTAATAAAATAGAAGGAAAATCATTATTTACTCTAATTTTTTAATGCACTTATTAGCTTATTTATAAAATGTAATTTATATTTTAGTTTGCTTCATATATTACAATCCCCTCTCCTCCTTCCCTTTCCCGTTTCACAAACATCTTCACTCCATTTCATTTCTCCTCCTTCTGCTCCCTCCTACCACCACCACTTATAATTTAATTGAGATAAAATATTGGGTAAGAATATTGTTTAGAACAATGCAAAGAACATGAGATTGTTTCAAAGACTATCCTGGCAATAGTGTCATGTTTTGTTGATGACAAGTATATACTATGCATACTTATTCAGATGATAAAAGATTAATTATGACGTCCCAGTCTGATTAGTGAGAGAATTGCTACATGAAGATGATGAAGTTACCTCATTTTGCTTCCAACAATATTCTTCAAAATAAATTATAAATATCAATTTAAATAAATATAAATTTAAAAATTTCAATTACAAAAAAATATTTAAATTTTAAATATAACTCTAAGATTATTTATGAAATTCTCGTTTATAACTATTTGAATTAATATACACAATTCATTTTTAAAAAATTGTTAGAAATATAACTGTTATTGATTTAAAATTTTGGGATCCAACTAAGTATCACTCTCCCTTCATAAAGGTACACTGTTTATAATTAAAATTTTTAGTCGTGGATCTTTAGAATTGAAATCTATAAAAAGCTACACTTTTTCACCAATCATGTATAGTATAATTTGCTTTAAATTCTCGCAAAACATACAGTCATATATCCAATTCCAAACACCCCCAAAAGTCCGTTTAGGAACCAACTTTTTCAAACGCTCGTTTGGTTAGGGCAAAAAATTATTTTGAAAATTCATCCATAAAACCTAAAAGCTATATAAAAGTCAATTTAGCAAATACATATGGAGGTTACTTTTTCCAAATACAAGTTGCCTACGTACTGTTTCAGTAAAATCATAAATAATTCTGACACAGACCCAAAAAAAAACAAAAAGAAAAGAAACAAAAGACTCAGGGAACCAAATCATTCACATCAATGTATAATTACTATTAAGTCATTCACACGCCTATGCAAAAATAAGAAAATCATATAATTGTTTTTTTCCATTTGGAATCAAGTCAAAATAGTTACTTCTAGTGCTTTAAATGCTTGAGTTTGCATAACTGGATCCCGATCCCCCAGATTATCTCATAATTTATAATTACTATTAAAACAGTCATCATAAACAATGATTGGTCAAAATTGATGAAGCAAAAATACTATCAACTGAAATCTTTCCCGCATCTTTCAAGACCTTCCAGCTGATGTGACTGAAATAGTAATTTAAGCGACACAAAAAAGTAATAAATGATATGTTCACCAACAACAAAAAAAAAAAAGGAAAAACAATTCTGTGTAAATGAAAAAGACGGATCAGTTCAGACAATAAACGAGAAAGGTCTTCAGGAACATAAATTATTAATAAGAGGACATACCGAAAGGAAAAAGTGGTACATTAAGCTTCTTTCCTTGTTATCCTGGAACCATGCAAAAGGTCAGATGGTAAGTATCAAAAGCCCATTGTCCATGATAGCCAGAAATATGAGGAACACTTAACCACAAAGAGCTACTTAATTTACAGTAATTACATAAAAATAGTGATATTGTATATGTACAGAAGAGATGAAGAAATAAAGACAACATCAAGGGACAAAGAACTGCCAAAATTGATAAATAGCACATTAATCTAGAACGGATGATTTACCTGAAACAATATATTCCTAAGGCAGTAGTAATCTCATGAATGACAGACGTCGCAAAGTGCAAGTAAAGAGTCACTGTAAAGAGAGACATACATCAAGAAAGCAGAGAGCAACGTCAATTGATTTCCTATGTAATCCACCTCAAAATCAACCAAACATAAGCCTTACAAAATTTTAATTCCACGTGGATTTTTTTTTCCCCAGTGAAATGAGTAGCTTTACTTCCCAGGCAGACCACACGTATGAATTATAAATTGGTTCTGACCTGAGAGAAGTAATTTGAAAATAATAGCATAACAGAATATGCTGCTATATGCTACAAGCCTGTGGTGTCGGCTCTTCAATGAGTTGGTAATTGCTGGATCATCTCAGACTCTAGAGATCTCTATCATTTGTCATTCAAAAGGCTTAGGAAGACTGAAGATGGAAACGGTTATAGAAGATCTGCTATACTTTGATGTTATTCGGTGCTATGGTGTCCTTACCTCAGACATTAAAAAAAACAGCTATGAGCCATTTTAGAGAATTTAACTTTATTTATTTATTTTTGCTGGAAACACAGTGAGGCTTACAACTGTCGCTTAGATGACATGCTCTCTTTGTTCAGTTCTTAGAACTTAGGCATATCTAATCCTCTGGCCTCCCCGCCCCCTTTTTATTTTTTAGCGCCAGCAAGTCCTCCGGCCCTTGTTACTTCTTTGTTTATTTTCTCTGATTATGTTTATCTGTCTGTCCAGAAATAAAATAATGTTAACTGTACCTGTGAATGCACAATAACCAAGAAGAACCAGTCTCTCATCCACCAAAGGAACCCTGCCACATATTTTGATGGACTTGTGTAAGGGGAAAAACAACACCACGCAAATACAACATAAACACCTATCAGCTGAACACAAGAGGACATACCCGTCATTCAGCCTTGATGTAAGTGCATTAGCAATAGCGAATGGGAGATAAAGGAGGGACTGTACAATGGAAACAACCCCAGAATCAATTATCTCAGTGCAACAAAGTTTAGACAGCGAGTCACGTCCAAGAAACCAGCTACTTTGATATGAGAGTTTTGAGCTAATTATTTTTATTTACAGTTAACCAACTAAGGATATAATTTAAGAAAATCACCAAATGCATGCTTCTTGTAGATGATATAGTTTAAATTAAGGAGTCAAAAGAATATATTAACTCTATACTTGAGTTCTGAAGACGAACTTTGAAATCAAGAGGTTTTCACCTGAGTAAAAGCAAGATAGAACATATGCCTTGCAAATTTCACATCAGGCAAGTTAGTGATGATTTAGACATCAAATCCGGAAGATAGACTCCACCACAAGTGTCGAAGTTTAGGTTTATAAATGACAGTAAAATTGATGGAGATGTTAAGCATAGGTATATGTTGAGTGGTTAAAATAGAAAAATGCATCAAAATTCATTTGTGATGGGGAAAAAACCTATTAAGATTAAAGTTTTACCAGACCACTATAAGACCAACAATGTTGGATGCAAAGGGACAACAAGAGCCAAATATAGGAGAAGTAGGGATAAGAATGTTAAAATGGATGTGTGGTTATCCAAAATAAAACAATATCTGTAATGATTGTACATGGAAAAGTTGGTGCAGCATCCATCAAAGAGAGTTGAGTATATGATCCTTAACCCCATTAAAAGATATGGAGAGAGACTAAGAATGACGCGCAAGTTACCGAACAAGATCTCATGATGAGAGTTAGTTGTTAGAGCCAATGACAATGTGTGATCGATGTAACTGGCCTCACTTAGTAAAATAAGGCTGTGTTGTTCTTGTAATATAAATCCAAAATATTAATTGTTTGTGATTCATTCCCAAACAGTACCTTCTATGGGATATACCCAAGGTAGGTGACACAAACATATAAATGAATCATCCTAAATAGTCACTAGTTGAATATAAGACAATATCCAAATCGAGAAAGTAGAACAGCTGTGAAAAAATCTTCAGTATTTAACATAAAGAAACTCAATACCATGCACATTCCAGTTTTCAAGCCCTTGGGTTCATCACACAAGTGGGACAAAATCATCCTTCCCTGCAAAATTAAGCTTACTTCAGTGAACATTGGAGTGAAGAATTAGATTGTCCACGATGGTGGAGCTAAGTTAGAACATTGGAGTGAAGTGACTAGCAAAATGTCTGAACTGGAAAATTTTAACAATTTAATAAACTTTTTTATTCATCTTAAATATCTATCTAGTTAGCTTGCCTGATCGAAACTTATTTTGTAAACACGGAGGTCATCTTTGCCAGATAGAATTGTAATTGCAAAAGGCAAACGCATTGAAGAGCCATTTTACCATACCAACATTAATCATGAGTCATGACAACAGCATCAGTCCATAACTATTTAAGTCAGCAACACAATAGCTTGGAAAAGAGAAATCAGTAACTAAAGGCATCCAACACAGGCTCTTTAATTTTTTTTATAGAAATCCAATAACAATCAGTAAAACAAAAGATCTCTGTGCCCTTAAATGATGCTACAGCATAATATCACACTTACAATCAAATTAGGTGTCATATCAAAAAAATAAATGAAAATTGAAATGAAATAACATATCACGCAGAACAAAACTTTTAGCCCATGGGTTGAGATTCGTATTTTAGGTGTCTACAAGACCAAGAGTTTCTAGAAACAGCGTGCACGGACAAGAACTTCGTACAGATTAAAACATATCGGAGAACATTAAATTAGTTATTAAATGGGAACTAAACACGGGGAATCTCAAACCATTTTTACACCACCGCGCAGTAATAAGTGTGAATTAGTTGAATAGCTCCTTTTTAAGTACTTCAAAGTAATTTTAAATCTGTTCATCCTCCAAACAGCCGATGATTATTTATATATATATATATATTTTTACGGAAAGTAACCAGCTAAAATGTATCAAAGTATGACACGAAAGACAGTAATGCCACAAAAGAATCAGGGTGAAATTATTAAAAATTTAGAATTTAATTGAAAAACACAGCTATCTTACCACCAGAAACCCAAAAGCAAGTCCTGTTCCTATAATGACTAAATGTGGGTAGTTTCCAAGGATGTCAGACGGTGATAAATATTGCCTGCCCACAAGATACAATCAGCTGTGTTTATATATACAACAGAAAAGAGCATGCACTTTTGAACACAACGGGGAACTAAGGAAAAAAGAAAGAGAACTTAAGTTATACCATAGTAAAACTCCTCCCAGGAGGACAGTGAATGGGTAAAGCTGCACAAAAAGAGAACATATCAACAAGGAAACTAGAATTTCGGAAAATAACCTTGACAAAAGGTTTTACCATTGCCAGTGCAAGTGACATGCTTCCATTCCTTGCTTTAACTACCTTGTAAACATTGCAAACACTGCATAAAACCAAAAGATTGACATTTTAAGCATGTCACATAATTAGTGAGGGGTAACGTATACAGAAACACAAAAATCATTTTGAACTTTTTTGGTTAGTAGAATCATTTTGAACATATAACAAGAAAATTCTTGTTTGTAATAACTGATGGAGAGATTTTCCATGTTATCTATAAGAACCTGATAGAACATCTAATGCTATCTATCTTCTACCTTTTTCAATAGTCTCAGTCTACTACCATCTTACAACGCATATGGTATATAATGGTCTGCCTAAAAAAACGTTTTTGACAAATTTACCATTAGACTAGATGGTATGCTTTTTTATCAGAAAATTGAACTTGTAAACTAGTGCCAATGCTAAAAAAGTTAAACATTAATATTACCAATTATACGTACTTGAATGTAACTGTTGGTATAACACCAAAAGCTATCATAAGGAACAATACTGCTCTGTATGTAGGAATTCCTGAAATCCAGAAGAATCAAACTCATAATTCTAATGAAAGAATTTACAGAATGACTAGGTTATATGCACACCCTTAATCTATTACTAGCTTCTTTGAAAGTACACATGAAAGAAAATCAAAGTACATTGATAGACAGAGTTACAACAGATTCAGAAATATCTACCTACTGGCAACGACATTAACAATTTGACCTTAATGATAGCAACATTTCTCACTAGTCTCAAAGTAAATCAAAGCCATATCTAAAGATACCATGATAAATTGATGAATGTGAAACTAGAAGGCTGTACAAGATCAAGAAGTAAAAGAGGAGAAACAGGTATTCGAGAAGTTAATTTAAGAGTGCATTGTAGTAACAAATTGAAGGAAAATTCCCCTCTCAGAGAAAGCAAAACAAGATATCAGTATCTAGAGGTGCATTATTCAAATAATTTCGTAATAATCTAATAGAAGGCCTTGAACATGATGCCCTAATTCTTATATAATTCTCAACATATAAGTTCATTATAATGCCTACACTGCTAAATTCTAACGTTATGTAATGATGACTTCTAAGTTCTCCAGCAACATGCAAAATGAAATGAAGAGCTAAGAAAATAATGACATAATGCTATGCTATAAATCAAAGGTGCATAATGTTTTGAAGGTAACAAAATGTGCGTAATGTTAAAGATATTAATAAAATCATCCACAAGCCTAGTTTTAGAATCATCAGGTCATTAGAGTAACTTGTTATTCATAAAGATCACGAAACAGTCAAGGATGCTTTGCCATGTAAACAGTGTTTTCAAATCCGGACTGGTTGGACCATCGCTTGGAGAAGCAAACGGTCTGGTTCAACCATTTGACCTGTTCTTGCAATTGACCCGGGGTTGACTCGGGTAGTTCTTGAAGTTCTGAAGAAAAACCTAGGACTTGAAACTGTTGGAACGTTTTGACCCCTTTTTCATATAAATATTATTTTTTTATTTAATTATTATGCTACTAGTTCAACCACTGGTCTAATCGGTTAAATCATGAGAACCGTAACTTACTAACCTTTCTGGATCATCATCCAGCTGATTTTTAAAACATCGCATGTAAAGTTATGAAATTCATTAAATCAGAATATAAACAATTAGTAATATTATCATATTTTTATACATGTTTAAATTTTATTTTTATTATTTTTTAAAAAGTGAAATAGAGCCCCCCAACACACAAAAAAAAAAAAAGAAAGAAAGAAAAACCCAGCTCCCTGTGCAAATGGTTTCAAGCCCAAAAGGCATTCACATGTGATGGCATGTTAGGCATACAAATAAATCATTTGTTCAGTCTTATCCTACCAGCCTAAAATTTTGGGATTGAATAGTCTTTGATAGTTAAGATAAACATCGTAAGAAATGGATGCAAAGTTGCTTCCAAATCACATGAAACAGAGTTCTGTGAAAGAAATTCCAAAAGATACTATTGAGGAAAGAAAAGTGACCAAAATATGAAACTTCGCACAGACAGAGAAGTAATCATATGCTTAAACAGAACTCAAATCAAAATCTTTAGGTCTCAAAAATGACCAGTATACCATATAACGAAGGACGGCCTTACCACCAATAAGAGGCACCCAGTTTAGAAAGGGCATAGACTTTCCAAATTGCTGAACCCACCATTCAGCACCTGAAGATCAGAATAATAAAATAATAGATGATCAAAGGCAGCACAGATGAAAAAAATCAAATTGAATATTAAACCTTCAGATTAAGAAATACAACTGGAGAAACAGCATACCCACAGCAGCAGTAAAAAAGTGACAGACGTAAATAAGCATAAGACCCTCAGTAGGTCCATTGACAACTGGCAGTATAAGTGTATTTGTGAAATAGCTGCATTCAGAACAACACTCAAAAGAGAAAATCAATAACGCCAGCGTAAAAATATATATCAAAAAGACAATTGAGAAGAATAAATAAAAACACAACTATATACAATCATAAAAATAGTATGATTTTACAAATATACACTAAAGAAAGCATCCATTTAATAACAGTTTAAACGAGACTGTTGACATACAATACTTTTTCAAAACCTTTAAATAAGGAAACTCTATTGAGTATTCCAATTCAACCAGAAGCACCTTGTTCTGGCAGAAGGGTAGTCAAAACAAAGTTTATATTCCATAAAAACTAATGGAGTTCCCCAAAAAAAAAGGGGGAAAGAAATCTATGTAACATATTATTTAGCATATAACAATAAACATAATAACTTACTGCTCCCAGGTTGCACCATAAAAGGGAACTGCAGATATTAACCAGAACCAAAAAGTACTTCTTCCACACATAGCAGTGCTCCCAAAAGCCAATGATTCAAACTGATACAAATTTTAACAGATGATTCTCTTTATTCTCTTTTAAAGGCTAAAGACTTAAAGATAACAACCAAAACTGCAGACATACTGTACAAGCAAGCGCATCACATCCTGCAACATGGTAGCATATATGTTCATCACTATCAAATTACATGAATAAAGATAAACAATTGGGGAAAAAATATTGCAATACAAATTCACCATGATCAAACAGCTCCCCTAGCGGGCTGGAAGAATTTGTCCTTCTAGCTTGCTTCCCATCCACAGCATCAAATGTCTAGGATACATTAAAAAAAAAAATCAATAACATAATATGGCAGCAAAAACTAGGAAACTCAGTTACCATATAATGAACCGCTAAAATAATGCATAAAATTGACAGAACCGGGGGGGGGGGGTAGATGGGACAGTAGATGGAATAGATAAAATTAGCTCAATATATTTAATTACAAATAAAAAAATTCCCAAAAATCCAGATTTAAATTATAGATTTCTGTTCAGTAAATTCCTATATAATAATAGGATGCCAAATCTAAACATGCTTCAAAACCAAAATATTTCTAATATACCCCACACAAACATGCAAAGAAAAAAAAAAGCCATCAATAATTAAATCCTTATGTTTCATTAGACTCGAAAGCACATGAAAACAGCAGCGTGATATTAAAAAAAAATGCAGATAGCAAATATAAGAAATGAGATCAAGGCAATGAATTTCGTTAAATAACCGAATTTTATTAGGCTTTTTTGTCATCAAGTTAAAGAAAGGGACCCATGTACAGTACAGCTAAAATAAAGAGAGCCAAAAAAGGAGCAGATGATTATGCTATTTATATGAGCAGTCTCAGGACCTAAGCAAACCTGGTATAAAAACAGAAGTAGTCCATGAGCAAAATGAACCCATCTTGGTGGAGGCGAGTCCAATTGAGGTGAGTATATCTGCATCAATAGTTAATAAGGAAAACTTAGCATGGTTTGATGATTCGGTTTCAACTTTCAACACAGCCATTTTCAGGATCCAAATTTTCTTCCATGAGCATATCAAAGGTAAAATTCAACCATTCTAAAAAGGGAAAGTTATGTACAAGAAGGCACCAAAAACCATGAAATTAACCAGCAACCTTAACAAGAGTACATTTAAATGATATTCAATCATCACAAATTTCATCATATCATTTGATGAAAAAGAAAAGGTAAAGTGAAGCATAACAAAAGTGCAAATTTATCACTATTATGAGTGCCAGCATTATGAAGCAGGATAAATGCATCAGGTCCCACTTACATAGCCAAGAAGTGCAGACACAAGTAAAAACATGAATCCAGTAAGAGTTATCTGTAACCAACAATATATGAATTATCAGTGCCAAGGATAAGTTCATGATGTCAAAAGGAACACTTGTGAACTAATGCTACAATGAGAACGCACAAAGACATACCATATTTGGACTGCAAATCCCAGAATACCAATATGCCAGCAGATGGGGGAAAATACAAGGAAAGGGTAGAAGTTAGTGCAATCCAGATCTTGTAAACTAAACTGGCACTCAGTAAGGTCTAACTAAAACTATTGCGAAAGAGGCAGAGTAAATAAAAATATTGTATTCTTATATTTGCGTTTGTCTGTGTTTACATGTGACAAACAGAACAAATTAAGCATGTCTCTAGTTAAAATGAGGAAGTGGAATTTTGGCAAGTTGCAAGCATTTTAGCCCCCAACAACAGATCATAAGAACAGAAAGTTACTGGATGTCATTAATTTTTAAATCTGACGAATGTTGTACAAATCATTTGCATTCTGATGTTGTTTATTTTATACAACTGGAGAATGAGGATTTCAGCAAAAAATTCAATAGCAGCACTTCCAAGTACAAAATATCCGTCTGTCTATTCTCAGTATAGACTACGCTAACTGCAATTATAGCTGTTTGAAGTCCAAAAGAACCTTTGAGCACAGCAACTAAACCAATCTTAATTCCTAAATTTTATACACTAGGAGCCTAAGGATCTGTTTGGTACAAGAATGGAAATATGGAATAGAATTAAAAAAGGTGAATCTAAGGACGAAAAATAATCCTAGTACTTCCAACTTAGAAAAGTAATAAAAAAAAAAGATAAAAACTGTTAAATAATTATTACAAAAATATAATAAACATTTAAAAAACATCCTGAAACCAAAGGCGGCCTAAACTAAGGAATGAAAATAAGCATGAAGATATACCGAGGCTTATTTTCACTTCTAGAATGCATGTTTACTAAAACTGACGCTGAATTGCCAGTATATTACAGTGATTTTATCGTATACAAGATATTCAATAAAAGAACTTAAAAAACACCTAGCCCACTAATGATCATAATATGATATAGCATAGTAGCATACTGAAAGTGAATAAATATTTACTGCTATAAACAGATAAGTCATAACATAGAAAGAACATTAATTCCAAAGATGAGAGTACTCACGGCATCCATAAAGGGAAGAGAGTAACAAAGCGACTCCAGAACGGCTGGAGAACATATTTAGCGACGTAGGAATGATCTACACCACTATATTTGTATCTATGCAGAGCTGCTACACCATGAGCCCCAATATAACCCATTATCTCAGATAAACCCTGAATTTTTTTTCCTTCAAAGACCAACTAAGCCTCTGCACGACCTGCAGAACTTTGAACACGAATCAGCATGCGAATATGCGTGATGCCAGTAACATGAGACTGTTGAAAATTAAAGGGTATGTTAAAAAAAAAAAATTTGAACTAAGTTGACAGATTACTAGCCAGCCACAAGTCCACAACAGATATTGATTCATGGAAAAACAAAAGGCAGTTATTCTGATTTGCACTGCAAGTACACATTTCGCAAACCAAAGGAGATTGGTCCCGACCAAATCAAACTATAACAGATCTAGAGGTAGAAAAAACCAATATTTATGAGGATAAAGAAATGGGAAACATCCAGATCAGGAAAGCAAATAAGAATCTGCAAGTCTAACAGAATGAAAGAAGCAGGAAAAAAAAAAACAAGGAAAAAAGAAAAAGTCTCAACCTCTTTGAAACGCAGAGGCGGTGCAGGCTCAGCGAAAATGATAGAATTGGAACCCTGCAAAGCTGGAGCTTGTAATAATAGGAGGAGTGGGTAAACAAACATACAAGTGAACAACACTTGATTCTACTGCCTTGCCCTTGTCTTCCCCCGACAGCAACGGCAACTAGGGAAATAAGATGATTAAAGTAAACTCAATTACATTATTACATTAATTAATTGATAATTAATATTAATTACCATTGATGGCTTGTCTTTTGCCACTGAATGTCTATGTCTGAATGGTTTCGCAGTGCGGTGAGGAATGTTCAAATCAAATCCCGTCTCTTAAACGCCATCTTATTCCATATATTATGGAAGAGAAGGCCGGTGGCCTTTCAAGTTTCAAACACGCTTTTTGCCACGCTAAAGAAATTAGATCGAGTAATCAAATACACTAGTTCTTGATTTAATAATCGTTTTATAGATAAATTAATAATATATTTTAAATAATACAAATTAAAATAAAAAATAATTGTTTATAATAATAAATAAATATTTAAAATTCAAACATATTATATAATAAAAACCAATAAGCATCAATACTTCATCAAAAAAGTTTAGGGAGAATCATACTATAAGCCCTAAAATAGCAAAATATATCACTTTGGACCTAATATATTGTGATATTACACTGCAGGCTCAAAGACTCTTGTTCCAAATTTTTTTGAGAGTGAAAGTATAACTTTGTCCTTATGTAATTTGAAAATCCAGATTATATACAAATTAAAGTCGATGGATGCACAACACAATATTTATGAATGTACAACATAATGTTTATAAATTATCAAGACAATATCCATATGTGTCCACACGTAAACATTTAGTTTAGAATGTATAAACATTGTGTTATATATTATACATGTCATTTGTACATTTTATTAAACTAACTAATCAATTAGACACACATGGACATTGTGCTATGTATTGATGGACATTGTATTTTGCATGATTTAAGTTTTCAAATCATATAAAAGCAAAATTATACTTTTGCTCTCAAAAAAATTGCAACAAAGACTCTTGAACTTGCAGTGTAATAACATAATTTATTGAGCCTGTAGTGCAATTTTTGCCTCTTTTGATGCTTGCATTGCAACTTTCCCAAATATCTATATATATTTCAAAATTTTAATTAATAACTTTAAAATATATGCATAAAAGAAATATGTTTCATATTTGTTCATTTTTCTTCCTTTCTCAATATTTATGAGGTTTAAATATATATCAATTACAGTTTAGAAACCTGGAACAAAATTTAAAAAAATAAAGAAAAATATGTGATGGTTCAAAGAGAAGGCAAGGGAGCCTTTCAAAAAAAAAAAAAACCGACTCCATCTTTATATATAACATTTATTTCACTCTTTGATCTATTTTTTAAGTTATTTCAAATGTCGAATGAAATAAAAAAATTAATCTAATTCATAAATAAAAGGTTTTATCATTTTTTTTTAGAGGTCAACCATTAGATGTGTCTCTAACGAAGAGAGGCAAAAATGAAACATTAGCGTATTTTTGTACTATTTTAATTTCATGGCAAAAAAATACTATTTTAATTGAATAATTAGTTTTTTTTTATATTCATAAACCAGTTGAAAATTTTAAGGAGCACAACACTTTACGCTTTACATCTTCAAAAGGGGATTTTTTTTAGATTTTTTTAATTAAAAATTTATTAAAGCTTTTTATTTACAAAAGATTATTAATTATTGATTTATGAATGATGGAATAATATTAATGGTGAGCTTTGAGATACTGAAAAATAACAAAAGTTAGAACCAAAAATTATTCTCTTAAAAATACTAACGAAAATAAAGAATAATATATCAAGCTTTATTTTTTATCCTCGACTTAAAAGTCACAAAAAAATTTGCCAACAATGTATAAGTGATCACAATTTCAAATAGACCAAATCATATTAAAATAACTTATTTTATTTATATAAATCCAAAATAAATATCGTGGCCAAAAAAATTCTCAGGCAAATAAGTTATATATAAATTATGTGAGTGCTCAATTAAGGGAACGCCTTCAGGCTTCAATGTTTCAGTTAAAGCTATAAATGAATCAAATAAATGTTTACAAACTATTTTAGAATTATTTAGAAGTTTATGTTTCCCTTTCTTTTTTCAAAAAAAAAAAATGATCAATATGTTAAACGTGTGATCAGAATTGAATTTAAAAGAGTTAACTCGATCAATATGTTTCCCTTTCTTTTAGAACTTTGTATATTCTTTTTTGTCTAAGTCAAGGTCTCCCTTTTTTAGTTTTTTTTTTTTTGCCATTGACCAAAGTCAAGGCTTCCCCTAAAACAGTAAAACATCAAAATTGACAGATATACAAATTTCTTAAACTGTCGTAATTTATTTTGAAACTCGTGCTAGCTAGGAGGAAAATACATAAAATTCAACTTAAAAATGGATATGTTACTTTCAAAAATTATAAATTTTTTTTGCAGAAAATTCAATTGAAATTGAAAAAAAAATCAAGCAAAAAAAAAGAAAAAAAATAAATAAATAAAGACCACCACAAATGAAGATGTTTTTGTATCAATATTTACATAAAAAATAAATTTCAGGCACCTTGAATTTTTTGATAAAAAATTAAAGACAACAAATGAAAAATTAAAAGCACAAAAAAAAATACTCACTCTATTTAAAAATTTAAGACATTTTTAACTGAATCTCACTTCAATAAAGTATGTAATTATCTTTGAAAAATCCTAAATCGTCTCAAACTTTTAAAAAAACTAGAATATAGTTAAATGCACTTTAAGTTATCAAATCTCAAGAGAGCAAACTTAAACAAACAAAGACAATTCATAAATTATTTTCACAAGTTAAAAATAATGTTAGTTTTGAAAAAAAAATTAAGGTTTAACGTATTTATAATTTCTGAATTTTATAAGAAAATATAGGATGAAGTGAAATTGACTTAACTAAGCAAATAAGTGAGTTTTCCAAAGTTTGAATCTACTTTCACCATTATAAAATCATAAGTTTAATTCATTCAATTCTTACAACTCATTTGCCATTAATTACCATTAGAACTAGGTTATTGTGATTTAGACGAAGACACAATTTCTCTTAAATTTATGCCAAACAATGATTTGTTAGAATTAAAACTTACTTTGCCTTGATCATGTTCTAACATTTGAAACCAATTAAGAGTTAACCAATTAACTTCAATTTAAGATCTAAACAAAAAATAAATGGTTCAGAGATCAATATAAGGATTAGACAGAATAACATTTATACAACAATAACCATTAAAGTATAAATTCAAATATATAATATGTATCATCCAATTTAAGTGTCAAAGCATAGCATCTAATTCTTTCAAAGGAGTGAAATCAAGAAGGGAATTCAATCTAACTTAAATTGCACACCAAGCCAATAGCAACAAGAGAATCAAAGCAATTAAAAGTGAATTATAGTAAGACTAAAATGAATTGAACTAAGGAAACTAAAATGAAAGTCTCATCTCCCTTGAAAAACTCTAGGAGAATTCAACTACTCATTTCAACCTCTTCAACAATTGATTGAGGAAAATGTCCACAAGAAGCTGCTATGGATGATTGCTTGAAAAAATCCATGAATGAGTGAGCCTCCTCCAAACTGAACGGAGAGAAAACCAGTGATCGTGTGTGCGATGAACTGAAGCTGAAGGAGATGAGCGATCAGCGCGCATTAGGAATTGAAACCGAGAGACGTGCGATTGTGCTCTAACCGAGTGAGAGATGACAAGATTAAATTTCCACTGAAACTGAGAGCTCCTAAATTCGTCTGTCCTCCCCTCATCCGCCAGCTTTGAAAGCTTAAACCTGATTTAAAAAAAATAAAAATGTTAAATTGCCCCTTATTCTTTAAAAACACAAAGCAAACGAAACTAAATCAATTAATAAAATTAAATCAAGTAAAATCTTAAAAATGAAAATAAAAATTGTCCAAGTAATAAAATGTGTCAAGAAATTGAAATTTCAGATTAAAAACAATTAATTTAATAAAATGTGCAAAATAACCAAAATGCCTCTAATGTCAAAACTCAATATAAATGAGCTAATGATCAAATCTAATACTAAAACCATGCATACAAGAGTCTAAACTAATAAAAAATGGTTAAAAATATAACAGAAAAGTGTGCAAAATATGTGATTCATGAGTCTTCAAACTAACATTATTTTTTCAGATTTACTTTTATTTAATAGAGTATTTTACTTTAAAATAAATATAAAATAATTTATTTATTACGAGCACTTTAAAAAAAGACATATTAATTACACTTTGAATGTCTTGTATTTTTTAATATTTAATTTTTTAAAAAAATATATTGTATTTTTTAAAGTAATAAAGAGCTCAAAGTCTCTCTCAAAATAACTTGGAGACCCAAAGGAGGATTAAGAAGTCACTCAATAATTCGTATTAAAGATATTACAGGACGAGATGGGACCTAGACATTCATGTCTCATGTCCTATCCTAAAAAATGATTAGAATTAAATTTTTATCCCAGTCCCTTCCAGTTAGGAATCTAGATGGGACCAGGACGAGATCGAGATGACCCATCATCTCAATAAAACAGACAATGTAGGAAAAAAGCTTAGATAATAACATTCATTAACTAAAATTTTTAAAACACATAACTTATTAAGTTTAAAATCAAAACAACCTGATTACATAAATCACAACAATTTAAAGTTAATTATTGAATTACCTCAATATAACTATGAGTGTATAACTTAAAATCAAATATACATGAGACATAATATATTATGATAGCAATTACAATTGATCTTTAGATTATAAGAACAACAATAACAAACAAACTAGGCACAACATTAAGTTATTGCTCTTCTTCTTTTGTTAAGATATGTTAAGCTAGTGATTATTTTGAAAATAAAGCAAGAAATATAATATAAATACAAGTTATTAATATAATTGTACATATTGTATTAATATAATTAATATATTATAAAGAAAGATATTATCATGTATTGCTTAGTTTGTGTCATTAAAATTATAAATATAAAAAAATTTTAGTTTTAAATAAGTATTGCACATGTTAAGATTATAATTAATATAAGTATAAATTATATTAATATAATTAATATATTTAATATATATTTTTAAAATAAAAATTATATATATATATATATATAATATTTGGAATAAAACAGGACCCGTCTTAATATGAAATAAATCAAACTAGGTTGATGAGGATGAATATAAGTTAAACACTTCTAATTGTTATGTCCTCGTACAAATCATTTACAGGACTCAATATAACAAGTAATACTGAAATCCTTTGTCCCACGCACGTTTGAGTCCCGTATAGCAAGCCCAACAT